GTCAGAAACACTGCTCAGAGATTGTGCCCATGACACAACACACACAGCTGCGCTGGAGGCTGGAACTGGTGAAAACCACAGTTCCCTTTTCCAAAGGAAACTGAGAAATTTTCGGAGAGGCTGAAACTAGGGACTTCTAACCAGAACTTCTCAGCATCTCGGGTGATGCTTCTTACTGGCATGGAGTTGAAGTTGCAGGGTCTCCTTCGTGCCTGTTTGTCAGGCTTCTGTTAAATGCATAGGCACAGAGAGATGAAAAATAGTTGGCAGTTTTAATCCTGTAAAGGGGCAGCTTTAATTGAGAGAGTTCTCGTCAAACTGTCCCCGGCCTCTCCAGACAATTTATTTTATTACTGTACTGTTTTTCCCCCTCTTGTAAGTTTACTCCAAATCCTGTAGTGTTGAAGGTAGTTCAGAACATAAAAGTTGTAATCCGGCTGAAATAGCTAGTTACAGATTCCTGATCAAAGAACTAGAGATAGCTTTATAGCTTGAAAGTTATGCCTGTTTACTTAGAAGGGTGCTTCCAGACAAGGGCTTAACATTGCTAACAGCTTTTTCAGATACTGCAGTTTTTGTGTGTTTCTTTTACAACTTTTTGGATTTTCTGCCAGTAGTGTAAATCAGATTAAATGTGCAAAAAAAGATGGGCTGGTATTTTGACGCCAATGAAGTCAGATGCTGCAAAAACAAACAAACAAACAAGAACAAAACAAACCAATTTATGTGCATGAGAAGCATTGAACCTAGGATAAACACCGAGTTCATTACGCCAAGCAGGAATGTGTACATACCCACATTTACTCTGCATCCTTTGATGGTTTAGGTAGCTACAGTGAACTCACAAGACGTTAGACACAATCCAGAACTATCCTGCAGCTTCTTGTGAAATGCTGCGTTTTGATACAACCTCCGCCCCCAAACCAGCTTTGATCTGAATTGCTAAAGGTAGAAGGGACCCCTGACCATTAGGTCCAGTCGTGGCCGACTCTGGGGTTGTGGCGCTCATCTTGCTTTATTGGCCGAGGGAGCCGGCGTACAGCTGGTCATGTTGCCAGCATGACTAAGCTGCTTCTGGCGAACCAGAGCAGCGCACGGAAATGCTGTTTACCTTCCCGCCAGAGCAGTACCTATTTATCTACTTGCACTTTGACGTGCTTTCGAACTGCTAGGTTGGCAAGAGCAGGGACTGAGCAATGGGAGCTCACTCCGTCGTGGGGATTCGAACCACCAACCTTCTGATCGGCAAGTCCTAAGACACTGTTGTGGACAAACGGCAGGGGACTTCGATACACATCCAACAGTGCCGAGGTATACAACATTGTTGATGTCCTGTTTTCATTGATTTAAGCAGTAAAATGTACATTTTAAAAACGTGTATGGCAACTTGCAAAACACAGCAAAACGAACCACCACGTCACGATGTTTTAATCCCGTAATGTTTGCAAGCCTAAGCACAGAGAGGATCTTAGTGAGGTGGGACAGTTGGCAAGTTAACCACAGTGGCCTTTGGATAAAGGGGCGCACTCTAACCCTACAAAGCATCCATCTGGTGCTATCCAGATGTTTAGGACTACATGGGAGTTGCCATCCACAACATCTGGAAGGTGGCAGACTGGGGAAGGGCCCTGTGAAGTTTTACGCTCCATTTCAAGCAGAGTAACTCCTTTGGTAAGGGTGGCGCTGTGGGTTAAACCACAGAGCCCAGGGCTTGCCAATCAGAAGGTTGGCGGTTCGACTCCCCGCCACGGGGTGAGCTCCCCTTGCTCGGTCCCTGCTCCTGCCAACCTAGCAGTTCGAAAGCACGTCAAGTGCAAGTAGATAAATAGGTACCACTCCGGCGGGAAGGTAAATGGCGTTTCCATGTGCTGCTCTGGTTCGCCAGAAGCGGCTTAGTCATGCTGGCCACATGACCCGGAAGCTGTACGCCGGCTCCCTCGGCCAATAAAGCGAGATGAGCGTCGCAACCCCAGAGTCGGCCACGACTGGACTTAATGGTCAGGGGTCCCTTTACCTTTAACTCCTTTGGTGGTGGGGTTCTCTGCCAATGTGCTGAGCAGAGTACTCGATAAAAAGAAAACTGTCATTCCCAGTTCTGTGTTTGAACACTGCATGTTTGTGCTGCGCAAGCATGATTAACCTTCCCTCCTAGCACAGGTTCCTCGATGCAAATTGCCCCCCAGAGCTGCAATTAGCCACGGAAGGGGAAAACATATCGGCACCATACAGGAAGGAGCCTGTACGTTTTCCTCTCCTCAGTTTATAGGAACTGGTGTGTGTGGTTTGAATCACGAGAGTCAGCACTGGGAGAGAGATTTCTGGTTTGTTAATTTTTAAGCTGCGCTAAGGCGGCCTGGCCTGATCCAATCCGCAGGGTCTGAGGCTGCTGTTGACGCAGTGTCTCCAACAACACATCCAGTTCTGTTCTCCTTGGTACTGGGGCCAGATTCAGAATCCAGAGATTCACATTGAAAGAAAAAAGGTTTATGTCCATGCAGCTAAACCTGAAAATGTATGCTGGTATAATCTTGAAAGGCTGAATTGGCCAGGTCTTCCATGTGCTATGTGTGTAAATGGGTGCAAGAGCAGGCCTCTGCCTGTATCCCTAGAGATGAAATTATGCAGGGTAAACTGAAATACAGATATATATAAAGGTAAAGGTAAAGGTACCCCTGCCCGTACGGGCCAGTCTTGCCAGACTCTGGGGTTGTGCGCGCCCATCTCACTCAAGAGGCCGGGGGCCAGCGCTGTCCGGAGACACTTCCGGGTCACGTGGCCAGCGTGACAAAGCTGCATCTGGCGAGCCAGAGCTGCACACGGAAACACCGTTTACCTTCCCGCTAGAAAGCGGTCCCTATTTATCTACTTGCACCCGGGGGTGCTTTCAAACTGCTAGGTTGGCAGGCACTGGGACCGAGCAACGGGAGCGCACCCCGCCGCGGGGATTCGAACCGCCGACCTTTCGATCGGCAAGCCCTAGGTGCTGAGGCTTTTACCCACAGCGCCACCCGCGTCCCTACAGATATATATACATACATGCTTAAAAATATTTTATGCAGGCCCCAGGCTACCTCAAAGCAGGTGTCTGTTTGTTTTTAAGCACAAAAGAGACAACAGGTTTGCCTTAAGCTTTTGAGGTAAGGTAAAGGTAAAGGGACCCCTGACCATTAGGTCCAGTCATGACCAACTCTGGGGTTGCGGCGCTCATCTCGCTTTATTGGCCGAGGGAGCCGGCGTACATGTGGCCAGCATGACTAAGCCGCTTCTGGCGAACCAGAGCAGTGCACGGAAACGCCATTCACCTTCCTGCCGGAGTGGTACCTATTTATCTACTTGCACTTTGACGTGCTTTCGAACTGCTAGGTTGGCAGGAGCAGGGACCGAGCAACGGGAGCTCACCCCGCCGTGAGGATTCGAACCGCCAACCTTCTGATCGGCAAGTCCTAGACTCTATGGTTTAACCCACAGCACCACCCGCGGTGATCTTTATTTCCTGCTATATGGAATCATAGAAGGGGCCACTAGGGTCATTTAGTCCAACCCCTCCAATGCAGAAATCTTTTGCCCAACGTGAGGCTTGAACCCACGACCTTGAGATTATGAGACTCCTGATCGACCAACAGAGCTACCGACATAGCCTGGCTCAGCCTGGGCAAAAGGCAGGTAAAGTCAGCCACCAAAAAAACTGCTTTCTAGTTAACTGGTCCCTGGCAAGAGGGGGTCAATGCTCTGGATATTTTCCTAGGAAGAAGCCCCAATGTTTGGGCTTCTGTTCCTAGTAAATGGGCATAGGGCAAGGCCTATCACTGGCATCTCTGAGGCTTATGTGTGCTTGGTAGGAAAAGCCCCATCACAGAAGGCGTAGATATCAACTACAACTCCCAGGACAGTGCCGGCAGGGGCTGATGGGAGTCATAGTTCAAAAATACCTGGAGGGCACCAGGTTGGCTCAATTCAACAAACTGTAAAAAACAAACCCAATGATTTTGTTAAAAACAACTAATTTGTGTTTTTAATCCTTTTTTTAAAAAAAAATGAATAAAAATTATATAAGCATAACCACCAAAAACACCCAAGCACTACCCTATGCCTGTTTACACAGAAGCAAGTCCCACCGAGTTATACGACACTTGCTCTCAAGTAAAACCCGTATATGGGCTCATGAACAAGAATTACCATCTGCCCAAAATGCTTGTTAACTCTCTGATAGGCTCTCCATTTGGAAGCTGGCTTGGGCTGAAACCAGTAAAACTTACTTCCGAGTAAACTCGATGCAACTCAGCAGAAAATGGAGTGGTGGTGGGGATTTTGTAGGTACATCTACTTATAACTCTCCCCGCCCCCTCCAATTCCCCTTCTGCGATCCCGTGCAAACGCTGCGTTTTACTCGAAAGTAAACCTCGCGAGCGCTGAGCACACCCAACCCGCGCCCAGCTTCGCAGCCACTCAGCAACTCCGGCCGAGGCGCGCACGTGCAGCCACACGCACACGCAGCCGGCGCCTTTCCCCAGTTCACGTGTGAATCCGCACACAGCAGCAGCAGCAGCGAGCAGCAGAAGCAGGCGCCGCTCCACCAATCCGGGCGCTTTTTCTCCCGGGGGAAAAAAGGGAGGGAGGCGACTGGGCAGCTGCGTCTCCTCCTCCTCCTCCTCCTCCCTGGCGCTGGGTTAGACGGGGGAAGGAAGGAGGGCGGGCAGGCGGGCGGGCGGGCCGGGAGGAAGCGGCGTGTGGGCTGGGAGCGGGCCGGGCTCCGGCTCGCTGTCTCTGGCTGAGGCTCCCTTGTCACCGCCTGCGTCAGAGCGCAGGAGTTTTCCACTGACGAAAAAGGGCAGCGCAGCAGCTGAGCCGGGAAGGAGGAGGAGCGACGGCGGCGGCGGCAGAGCAGTCCAGCGCCAGGCGCAGCCAGCCAGCCAGTCCCTCCGCAGCCTCGGACGCAGCAGCAGCAGCAGCAGCCGCCAGTCTCGACGGCGATGCAAGCCTGAGCGGCGCCGTCTCGCCCTCCTGCTCCTCCTCTTCCTCCAGCCGAGCCTCCTTCCTCCCAAGCCGGCTTGCCTGCCTTCCCCGCCGCCGTCCGAGGAGCCCCCAGCGGCGCCGGTGAGTGTCTGCGTCCGCTCGGCTCGCCGCCGTCGGGGCCCGCGCTGCGCTGCGCTCTCGGGGCTTAGAGCGCTGGCGGTGGGGTGCGGGGGACGCGGCGCGCTGTAGAAGGGTTGGGGGGGCGTGTTCCCGCGGGGTACTAACTTAGGGTACGAGGGGCCATAGCGAGACCCCGACGACTGCCCCCACCCCGGCGGCTGCAGCTGTTGGATAAAGGGAGAGGGGGCGCTAGAGAGGCGGGAGTTGGGGCTGGTCCAGGTTGGATTGCGGGCGCGGAGGGCTTCGGTTCAGAGAGCCCGACAGGGGGCGCCCTGGAGACGGGGGGTAAGAGAGGGGCAGATTCATAACGCGACGGCCGGGACTCTCCGTTGGGGGCTCGCTCGGGACCTCTGACTGTGATGTATGGGAGCACTTCACGGCCCGGGTAGAAAATGAGGTTGATTCGAAGTGAAACGGAGTTAAGTCGGGGTTGGAAAAGCGGAGCGGGCGGAGGAGCGAGGGTCGTGGAGGAGGCGATGCCCACCCTCTAGGGGGCGCTGTAGAGCGGACGAAAGAGGCAGCTGGAGGAGTTCCGACGGTCAGAAGGGGGCGCGCAGTGTCCAAATGGTGCGCCGAGGCGCGGAGCTGGGTCTGGGGGACGGGAAAGTGGCTCGTTTCTGGCTGTCACACTTCTGATCGCGTTAAGTGGGCTCTTCCGGAGGCATTTTGCCTCCTTAGGAGTGGGAACATTGAGAAGATTCCGGACTCCTGCCGTGCTCACGTCGAGGTTCCTCGCCGTCGAGGCGCTGACTTCCCCCGGCTGGGGATCTGGGGAGCGCGCCTCCTTCCTTTCCCTTATTGTCTAGCGGCAGCCTGGATCGTATCCTGATTCCCACCCCCGCCACGATCTTACTCCTCGCTTTCTCGTTTCCCTCCTTGCACCTGATCTCTGCCGAGGCGCCTGCGGTTTCGATTCCCGCCGCTCACGTTGATCTGGCCACCGTGTGTTTATTATAACCTGGATTCTTGCGAGCATCTGTTCAGGGAGCCAACCCCGCGCTTTCTTCCTACCTCCCCCCCCCCCCTTTTAAGGTCCTGGAGTGATGGGCTGTAAAACAGTTCAAAAGAAGTTAATTGAGTTGCCCAAATTCTCCAGCCCTGGGAGATAATGATATTTGGCTCCTCGCTGGGCTATCTCTTAAGGGACTGGCAAGATCTCTCCCTGGGGCCATCTTAGCAAAGAATGTGAGGCAGATTGTGTTCAGCAGCAACAACCCAAAACAAGAATGCCAGATACTGTATTATAAAATGTGTTGTTTCTTGGTCTTGGCCTTCCTGGAACCAGAGAGGAGAGAGACTCCACCATTGTGGAAAGAACCCCCACTTTTGGAAAACGTAACTAGTTTTGGAATTTTTGTTTTCCATGTTCTCAGGATTTTCTCTCTTACAGTTCCCCCACCCCACCCAGGTTTGTTGTCATCAGTCCTTCCTCCTCCTCCTCCTCATGTGTCATAGTTACGCTGGGGAAATACTGTGCTTTAGCAGGAGTTTGGTGCCAGGGATGTGAGTCACACACAAGGCAGCTTAAATATAGGTTCTTGGGGTTTTCTTTGAAACATCACAGTTGCTTGTCAATGGCATTGCATCAACGGCAGCCCCTCTGGTTTGCATCACTGAATAACGTCGTTGGAATTCAAAGCCGTGTCATAGCAGTGTTGTCCAAATGTCTCGCGATGGAGGCATGCACTCCCCCACCTCCCTCAAAGTAAAACTGGACGCTCTGTGCTCATGAACACACTCGGAAGCTGAATCTGGTTCCCGTGTAACCCCCCACCCCCCTTGCTGTTCTGCACAAGCTGCTCCAGGGAATGTCTCTTGGCTCCAGGGCAAGCTCAGAACAGGCACTCATCCAGAGACACAGCAGGCAACCTCCTTCTGGGGAATTGTGGCCAGTTCTACTACGCCTCTGTGTTGGGAGTGATTGAAGGGTGTGAATGCACACAGTGCAGAGCCACAGTAGCATTTCTCCCCACCCCCATCAGAGGCAAGGTCAGAACAGGGCATCATTCAGTGATGCGGCAGGCAGACTCTTTTTTGTGTGGGTGGCAAACCATATTCCTGCATGGCGGGGGGTTGGACTAGATGACCGCTGGGGTCCCTTCCCATTCTACAGTTCTGTGGAAATTAACATTTCCTTTGCAGCGTATTAGTACGGTTCAGCAGACAGTGGGATTGCGTGCATCGGGTTCATATCCCCTGGTCATAATTGTTTGTTATGAAGTTAATGACCCTTTTGTCACAAATGCATATTTGTTGTTGCAGCAAGGGAAAAACTCACACTTGAGCTGCACGTGGTCGCTTTTCAACTTCTGAGTAGATTGTGCAGAAGTTAAAATGTAGCTGCAAATCTTAGTTTTGCCATTGGTGCTGCTGCGACGGGGGCTGTTTTCCTTCGCTCTTCTCCTTTTGTGGTCGCTTGCAGAGTTTTGAGTTTGAGGCTGCCTACTTGCAAGGGCCCAAGTCCATTGCACTTGGAATAATAATGTAATGATATGCATTGGGCTGGGCTGCCCAGCTGTCCTGAGGTATGCACTCCTTTTCTACTACAGTACAGCCTTTTGTGATGTGCTGAGTGACTCATTTATGACACCCGTACAGCTTTCCTGCATCTCTTGAGGACACGTGACTCTTCCTGCCTGTCAGATCTCTGCTCAGCTTGGAAGTTTGTATCCTTGGATGGGAGCAGAACCAGACAAAGAAGGCTGCCTTTCCTTCTTTCTGCATTTCTCGCTCTCCTAGACCAAGAAAGCAATAGCAGTTTCTGTTCCGGTTGCTGTTTGATGAAGGAGCCACAGGGAAGCTGCTTTTGCTTTCTCTTGCAGCCACAGCAACACCTACTGGTGCAAAGGCAGGACTGATCAGGAGCAGTTTTCTTGGCGAAACTCCTGTGGGTGGGAGAGAGAGACTTGAGACCAGAGAAGGATGCAGGCTCATGTTTTTACTTGCCTTCTCAAAGCCTTTAATAATAATAAAAAAGCTGTTCTGACAGTCCTGGAGGCCAAAAGTTGATATGGATGACATTTCGTGGTTTCTCTTGCAGGGATGGGGGGGGGCTTACCTGTGGAAGCCCCTGCTTCTGCCCCACTGCCAATTTTGCTGCACTGTTAACTCTCAAAATCCCTAACCATGGTTAAAGGTAAAGGACACCTGGATGGTTAAGTGCAGTTAAAGGTAACTATGGGGTGCAGTGCTCATCTTGCTTTCAGGCCGAGGGAGCTGGCGTTTGTCCGCAGATAGCTTTCCGGGTCATGTGGCCAGCATGACTAAGCCGCTTTTGGCGAACCAGAGCAGCGCACCGAAACGCCGTTTACCTTCCCGCCAGAGCGGTACCTATTTATCTACTTGCACTGGTATGCTTTCGAACTACTAGGTTGGCAGGAGCTGGGACAGAGCAGCGGGAGCTCACCCTGTTTGCATGGATTCGAACTGCCGACTTTCCGATCGGCAAGCCCAAGAGGCTCAGTGGTTTAGACCATGAACAACATTTGGAGTGTCTATAGGCTCCTGTTTCTCTTTCTCAGTCTTTTTATTTTTGCATGTATACCCCGCCTGTCGTCCAAGGCCCTCAAGGTTAGCTTGCATAGTTCTTCTCCCCATTTTATCCTCACAGCAACTCTGTGAGGTAGGCTAGTCTTAAGAGAGCGTGACTGGTCTCACCCAGTGAGCTTTGTGGCTGAGTGGAGATTTGAACCCTGGTGGTCTCCAACACTCTAACTCAGTGGTTCCCAAACTTTTCCCCCTCTGGGTCGCACTTTCAGATTAACAATTTGCTTGCACCACACCAGATATTTTTATTGATAAGGCATTGGAAAACAAAGTAGGATTGTCCTGGATATCACTTGATTCTCTTGCTCACCACACCCTTTGAGAACCACTGCTCTAACTGATACACCACACTGTCTTTGTATACTGAAGCAACATGAGCAGCCTGCGCAATGACTTGGTCTTCATCAGCTCTGCCTCTTTTGCTTGTTTTCAGTCCCAGTCATTGCTTTAGTGTGGCAGCATTAATTTGCAATTGTAAAGGGGGATATTATTATTATTATTATTATTATTATTTTAAAGCAAGCTTTTTCTTTCCAAGTGCCCTCATCGCCCTCCCCATCGAGGAATATAATACGCTGGAGGGAAGAACGGTTAACGCGGTTCCCTCTCGAGTTACGAACGGACACCCTTTTGGCATCTGTTGCTGCAGAAAACAGATGTCTGTGTCGGGACGAAGGCATTGTCCGTTTGGGCTGAGGGTTCCCTAATGGTGCCTACAGAGTGGGGGGGACTTAAGTTGGATCATCAACCAGGAGATATTGATTATGTCTATTAGGGAACGAATCGTCTGTCGTCGTGCAGCTTGAGTCAATTTGCAAAGCCGTTCACAAGCGCCTGCCCCTCCCCTCTTCCCTGCAAGGGCTGTTCCCATTTTACAGGGAGTAGAATAGAGGCTGAGATTGGATGGCAAAAGTCTTGTAGACTGCCCACAGCGGAGGAGTGGACTCTTGAACCCAAGTCTGTCTCCGATCCAAGTTGCCCCCCTTCCCCGCAATCTCAGGGGACTCACTATTTTTCTTGACGTGGTTGTCGGTGTGGTGGTTTAGAGCACGATTGGAATGTTGCTATTCCAGATCTCAACCCAGCAGTCGGCTTGGAATCATCGAATCTTAAGAGTTGGAAGGGATCTTGAGGGTCATCTAGACCAACCCCCTGTTCTTACTGTCACAAAATTCTTCCTGATGTTTAGTTGGAATCTCCTTTCTTGTAACTTGAAGCCATTGGTTCGAGTCCTACCCTCCAGAGCAGGAGAAAACAAGCTTTCTCCATCTTCCATGTGACAACCCTTGAGATATTTGAAGATGACCATTAATTCTCCTCTCAGTCGCCTCTCCTCCAGGCTAAAGGTGCCCAGCTTCCTCAACCGTTCCTCATCAGGCTTGATTTCCAGACCCTTGATCATCTTGCTTGCCCTC